CGCCCAGGCGGGTCTCGAACCCGCGGGCTCAGGCAATTCACTCACCTCAGCCTACCAAAGGCACGGGATTACAGGCTGAGCCTCTGAGCCCGGCTTTTTTTCTTTTTTAAAGCTGGAATCTCACTCTGTTGCTCAGGCTGGAGTGCAGTGGCATGCTCACGGCCACCGCAGCCTCGACCTGCTGTGTTCAGGCAATCCTTCCACCTCAGTCTTCCAGGTAGCTGGAACCACAGGCATGCACCACCATGCTTGGCTAATTTTTTGTAGAGACAAGGTCTTCCACGTTGCCCAGGCTGTTCTCGAACCCCTAGGCTCAGGCAGTCCTCTCGCCTCTGCCTCCCAAAGTGCTGGGATTAGAGGTGTGAGCCACTGTGTCCAGCCAATCTGTGTGTCTTTACCAGCCAAGGAATTTGGCAGACTTTGGCCTACATAACTAAGTTTGTGATTTGAGGTGTGGAAAAAGCTGAGACTGCAGTGCGTCCTTTTTTTTTTTTTTTGAGTTGGAGTCTGTCGCCCAGGCTGGAGTACAGTGACACGCTCATAGCCACTGCAGCCTCGACCTACTGGACTCGGGCTATCCTTCCGCCTTGGCCCTCCAAGCAGCCGGAACTACAGGTGTGCACCACCATGCTTGACTAATTTTTTGATTTATTGTAGAGATGAGGTCTTGCCAAGTTGCCCAGGCTGGTCTTGAACTCCTGGGTTTCAGCAATCCTCTTGCCTCCTCCTCCCTGAGTGCAGAGATGACAGGTGTGAGCCATAGCGCCTGACTCACTCCTACACATTCTTTAATGTCTGTCATGAATAAAACTCTTGGCAATCCTCATTGAAAAGACACCAGTCGGTAAAAGCTGGACCTGTTGGAAGATGTTTTGCCGCTCACCTCTGAAAATGGGCCTTCCAATAACACAACCAAAGGTGCTGAATTCTTACAGGGTAACATCACCTTTGCCCATTTGAAACAGTAATGTGTACATTCCATTTACTCCCACAGAATACTTCTTCAGACACCAAGGACTGTATTTTGAATTATTGAGCCCCTTATCAAAACGCAGGTCAAGACAACAGTTCAGCATGGCAGAGTGACTTGCTGTTAGATCTTGGCTCTATCCTGAATTAAACTTACCACATGCAATTCTGTCTGTCACTTTGGCTCCATGCAGAAATACCTTAACAGAAGCATTATGGACAGTGTTCTCTG